CCAGATAATCCTAACCTAAACGTAGTTACCATATTGTTTCTTTCTTTGAAATCCTTGAGTACAACTTCGTATACTGTAGCATTAAGTATATCAAAACAATGTAAAACCATTCAAGAGAATGACAGTATTACAGAGTATTTAGAATCAACTAACAAAATGAACAATGGTTTCTGTATAATCTCCTTGTCTTTAAAAGGTTTTTGCTTATACTATCGTACATAATAAAATCCAATAAGATACAGCCTATTTAGACCATTGGAGACAGAAGGACAAAAGCTAGATGAGACTTCAAAACAAGATGATACTAAATCTGTATTACCTATTAAGATGTCATTTTCTCCAAAATAGCTGTTCCTATCATCCAATCTTCTCTGCCTCATTTCTGTTAAGCTCTTTTTCTGTCCGTAGCTGTCAGTTTGTCTTCTTCATTTTGTTCTCTGCTCCATTCGTTGTGGCCTCTCTGCCATTATTTCTGCATTCTTTGTATTTTTCTTTTTTTAGAATATCCTGCAATACTCTCTGTAGAGTTGAATTGGTGGTTGCAAATTCCCCCAGTTCTTCTTTATCCTGGAAGCACCTTGTTTTTCCATCAATTTCCAGGGACAGTTGTGCAGGATATCTCAATCTTGGCTGGAGATTATTATCTTTCAATGCTTGAATTATTTCCCCCCACGCTCTTCGTGATTTGATGGTTTGTGCAGAGAAATCTGCTGTAATTCTGATGGGTGTTCCCTTGTAAGTGGTCTGTTTCTTGTCTCTTACAGCTTTTAATATTCTGTTCTTGTATTGAATTTCTGGAATTTTTATTATTATATGCCTGGGTGTTGCTCTGTTTGGGTTGTAGGTAGCTGGGGTCCTGTATGCCTCATACATCTGAGTATCTTTACCTTTTGCTAAATTAGGAAAATTCTCCTGGATTATTTCTGTGAGTAGCTTTTGTAGTTCACTTGTTTGTGTCCCTACTTCTTCTTTTATGTTCTTAATCCTTAAGTTATGGATCCTCTTATCATCTTCTTGTCTTTGTATTATTGCTGTTTGTTTCTTTGTTATTTTTAAGAAGTTTTTCATTTCATTCTCCCATATTACAAGTCTGCCCTCCAGTTCAGATAGTCTGTCCTTAGTTTCTTTCAAGCTGTTATGCCAGTCTTCTATAGACTTCTTAGTATCTTGGTAGTCCCTTTGAACCTGCTTCACGTATTCTATGCTTTCTCTGTTTTCTCCATCAAACAATTCTCCCCTTTTTTTCTGTTCTTCCATTCCACCACCTGTTTTTTCTTGGGTGGTACTTAGCATTTCTCTAACTATTCTGCATACTTCTAGCTTCAGGTCGTTGATAACTTCATTCCTGAATTGGTCTATGAGGCTCTCTATATGGTGCCTTATGTGTATTGGTGTGGTGTCTGCTATTGCCTGTTTCTCAGAATTGGGGGCCGAGGAGCCTTTCTTGTTGCTGCCTCTTCCCATGCTGCCTCTTCTTCTCTGTTCCTTATATATGCAAGCTTATATAAGAGGCCCAGCTTCTCTCCCAGTCAGCCACAGCCTGATCGAATTGCGCCAGTTAGTTGTTCCCGCTCACCGCTGCGCACCAGGGAGTTACGGACCAGGCAGCCTACGCGTCTCCCCTCCCGGCCACCGTCAGGCTCTGGGATCTGGGTTGGGACAGCCTACCAGGTCCGCCGGCAGCTTCACGCAGGCCAGGGACTTTTCACCAATCCCGCCTGAGAGGGGGATGTGTGGCTGGAGTCGCCACCGCGCCCTGCTCCCGCAGGACTGCTCGGGCCCAGAAAGTCCTCTGCTGGAGTCAAACTGTGGTAGAGTGTCAGTTTCTCTCACTCACCTCACCACAAGTCAGTGCACACCTCCCTGCCGTTCGCAGATTGCCGTTCTCAGAGCTTCTGCACGTCTCTCCCCTTGCTGAGCCACTGTAGAGGCAGCCAGCCGCCGCGCGGCGGGAAACCCAAATCACGGCTTACAATGGCGCGGTTCCAGCCTCCACACCGAGTCTTTTCTGTTCCTGTTTTAGCACCAGGACTGCATTCCAAGTTGGCTTCTCTCAGCCCAGTTCGTTCCTGAGTCAGCAGAGCATATCTCTACCGACTTATGTCTCCTTAGTCCGCACCATTCCTGGCTTCTGAGCCGAGTCTTTCAGAGAGCCTCCAGTAGTTGCTGTTATCTGTCCGCCATGTTCTCCCGGAAGTCCCGGTTCTAGATTTTTTTTAAGAGATATAGAAATGGCACTGTAGGTGATGATGAAATTTAAACATTTTATCAACACTACCGCTAATAGTGATAATACTTCTTAATTAACCCCCATTAAAATATTTGACATGTAATATAAAATTCCTGGTTCATTCCCAAACTTTATTGCTAATTTAACTAAGCAAGTTTCTCCAAATTGAAATTCAATTTTAAAAATTACTGAAACACACAATGACCCAAAAAAAGTGGTATAATTTGATGTAACTCTCAAAACAACAGGAATTTGTAAAGATTTTGCTAACAAAAATATTTTCTGAAAATAAAATAACATTGATAGGATAAATATATAGTAAATCATGGATCAATATCTTTATCTTATAATTCATCCAATCATAACTTACTCATTAATCACACATCCACATACCAATCCAGTCATCTGTGTTATTTTATTTACTGTCAGTCATATAAGAATAGCTTTTAATTTTTTTAATAAAAAATATAAATTTCAAAGTAAGAGAACAGTACTTATTTTAAATACCAATTTGCTTGATTCAAAGCTTTGAATATGTAGAAATGTGGTTTGTTATGTCCCATGTTTCATTTTGTTCCTGATACTTTACAATGTTAAGGGAATTCAGTTAGGAGGATCACTGCAGAAATCTAGGCATGAACAGGGTTGTGGTAATAGAAATGTGGGCCATCATAAAAATTTTGGATATTTCCTCAAAGATTGCAAGGATTTTTCTGATGGGTTGCATTTAAGTCTTAGAAAGGAAATCAAATGACAAAAGTTGTTAGCCTGAGCAACTGGACAGAAGAAGTTAGCATTATGTAACATATAGGGCACAACACTGGGATACAACAACTCACCTTATACTTTTATTTTGTAAATTTGTCCTTTAGCATGATAATAGCCAGCTATGCATCTCAGAAGTTGCACAGAGGGGATACAGGAAGTCGTCTTCATATTTACCCACTTGGTATGATAAATGGCAAATTGTATGCATGTGTGCAAAAATATCATTGTGATTTTTACCCACATAATGTTCCATCTAACAGGTTTGCATCTGTTTACCTGAGATTCACAAGGAGTAAAATACACCCACACTACTTTTCTGTTTTGTAAACACATGTTTTACCATAAATGGAACTGCACAGTGGGAAAGCAAAATACCATCAATGCATTCATCCACTTGGCAGATGAAAATATAGTCAGGATCTCAGCTATAATGAAAACTCTTGGACAAAATAACAATACTGCTATTCAACGCTGGAAACTGTTTGTAACAGGCAACATGCTACAAGATATTTTGAAATACACAAATGCTGCCATAGAGGTAAAATCTTCTTATGGACCATGTATAATATATTTATTATGAAACCTCATTGGCTGAACTAAAAGTATTCATAAGTCTGCTATACCTAGCAGGGCTTTCTCATGGTAATGCAGGAATGTAAAAGACTTATGGAAAAGTAAGGGGTGTGAGTTTAAGGTCTGTACATGATACCCATATTTTCTTCTAACTTCCTAGCTTTATTGGCTCTAAGCCTCCACAAATTTCTCCTACCCAGTGATATAAGTATTACAAAGAAAAGGCAAAACAAAACAAAAAGAACATAAATGCAAGACTAAAAATGCTAACTTCCTACATTTCTTCATTATCTAACCTTCAAATTAGAAAAGAAAAAAGAACTTCAAGAGTAAACTCACTTTGAACCCCCACAAGCCATTTATCCCCTCTCTCTCTCTCTCTCTCTCTCTCTCTCTCTCTCTCTCTCTCTCTCTCTCTCTTCTCTCTCTCAGAAATACAAGCACAGCAATGACTAAAGCAATACTACAATCTAAACAGAAAAGAAACACTGAAAGAAGGAAAAAAGGCCAGGAATGAGCCAGGCTAACAAATCCTTGGATGAGAAACTAAAAGAGCATTTCTGAAACATCATACAGAATGTTATCTTTGATGAGTTTTAAACCCAAAATAAGCTAGAGATCAAGAAATAAAACCAATTTCTATAAAATTTTTGCGAATACACTAATGTACTTTATGGATCTTCAAGAAGTAGATATAGAATATATTTTTCCAGTATTTGTTTGACACAGAACACACTCTTTTTCTACTGATTGACAACATCCAGTAACGATAATCCTCTGAACACACTTTGGGAAACACTTGAATGAGAAGCCCAAAAGTAAATGTTTTTCAAAGCTGGCAGAGCAAGACTAGATAATTTCTCCTCACTCTTCCCTGGCTTGATGCATGAAGATTTGCAAATCTGCATAACTATAACCTCATAGAACTAAATTCAGTTTGCATTCAATAAATTCACTTTTAAAAAAATGAAGACATTGAATTATCCAATATTCACAGTTATTAAACATTCACATTGCAAATGAATTTTCAGATCTCCACCTGCTCCCTGCAGTGTTATCAGTGAATAACTGGAATTAATTATTATAGAAATGATGATAATGATGCCAAAGAATTTATTCTAATTAAATGTTCTACCATAAAGAAAGGGCTGAAATTTAGATCGATAATGATTTAATTTTATCCTTGAGTCTTTCAGGGACATTCAGTTCTTCCGAGCATAATAACCTGATAAATGGTTGCATTTTTGCTGTGATTGAGCAATAATATCTTTATCAACTTTTTTTCTACATTTTACTAAAAACCTTAGTTCACATAAGACTGGTTGCATGAGCAAACTCTTATTCATGGATAAATTTTAAAGAAATTTTAGCTAATTCATCACTCTTTCTGTGCATTCTGCTGAATTAAACTGACATAAGAATAGTTCCATTTTGCTGTAAGGTAGACATTTGAAGAGAACGAAAAATTGAGAAAGACCTATCGTCACTGTATTTCAGCTCTGAGCTTCACACACACACAGAAAATGATGCATGGCTATGTGAACTACGGATGAAATGTAGAAGAATATGTTTATTAATGTTAAATCTCATATGTTTCCATGTAATTATTTCTTTTAAATACTATTCTAAAGCTAAGTTTTAAAAGCTACAACATTAATATCTATCTGTTCTCAAATACATATATTTTCTAAATGTCAACAGTAATGTCCTGTGTCATACAACTTTTTTGTATTATTTTTATAATCATAAAAAAATACAGAGCTGTTTTTAAAAAGCACTGTTCTATTTTAACTGACTTACTACCTAAACTCCAGGTGCAGTGCTTAGGACCTAAACTTTCGGTGAAATTTCAAAGGCTTCCTCTGGGTACAAAAGAAACCCAGTGAAAATACTGTCATCTTCAGCACTCACATATAAGCCATTCCAATCCTTCGACACCTCTAGCCACACTTGCTCTCCTGCACTTAACTTCAGAACCAGGAGGAGTGAGGCCTGATCAATTTCCTGGCCATAGAGGGTTTCTCTGGACTTGAATTGTTTCTTATTCTGGGCCATCAGGCTGATCTGCACAGGCCGGCCCCTCACGGTGACGTGGTAGGAAAACACATATGTCCCAGGAATAGTGCAGTTAAACTTCCCAGTGACAGGGCTGTAATTCTCTTGGTCATTATATAGAACCCTGTCAAACTTGATAGGGCTGTTAGGAGGAGGGAATGGCTTTGATAGAGCAACACTGAAAGCTGACCGTGGGACTTTGGTCACCTCACCCTTGGAGCCCTTGAAACCCCGAGAGCCCTTTTTCCCAGTAGGTCCTCGGACCCCTTTTGTTCCGTGCTCACCCTTTGGCCCAGCAGGTCCCACCAAGCCAGGAGGACCTAGCTCACCCTTTTCTCCTTTAAGGCCCGGATCGCCCTTGGCCCCAGGTGGCCCATCAGGGCCCCTTCTGCCTTCTATTCCTACCTCTCCTTTGCGGCCTCTTTCTCCTTTCACCCCCTCCTCACCCTTTTGCCCTTTCCCTCCTCTCTCCCCTGAATCTCCGCAGGAGCCTTTCTCTCCCATCTCTCCCATCTCTCCCTTCTCTCCTTTGGCCCCAGGCCCTCCATTCAAGCCCGGGGAGCCTGTGGCTCCTGGGTCTCCTTTGTCTCCTTTGGTACAGATCCCCCTTTGAGCCTTTTTGTCCTTTTTCTCCTGCGAGGCCAATGTTTCCTTTATCCCCTTTGGGGCCAAGTCCACCTGAAACATAAAATTAAAATCACGTTTAAGGATCAGATAGGTTATAAACAGTGTATTATTCTCACAGAGCTCAAAAAACAGAAATGAAACCTCTTAACTGGGGCCTGGAAACCTGGTTCTTCTCTCAGCAAGTTTATACCTAGAAGCCATAATGCAAAAATCAATTGGTAACACACCATCCTCCCAGAAGGAGGAGCATTAATGCTTCCAAGAAACAATAGCTTCTATTCAAAACTCTTATATCTAGTGGGTTTTTTTACTTTTATGATAATAAAAAGCATTTATAGCTTCTCATTTTATTCCATTATCCTTCCCACTTTAGTCTAAGAAGTTTCCTAAATTTCCACATTGTCTATCTAAACCCAAGATAGGAATAAAACCCAAAACCTAGGTATTTTTTCAAGTGTTGCAAGTATTTTATTTCCTTTGATAGCTGGAGACAGGTCCTGACAACAGCAGAGCTCAGATATTTTTACCTCACTTTTAAACTCCTGAACTCACCCCATCCAATCACTACACTGAAGATTGGAACAGTAATAGTAACTTATATTTCCTCCTTGCTTCTCTGACAACTTTAAATATCAACAGGAAGAGAACAAAGCTCTTTACTGCACTGATTACTGTACACAATAAATGTTTTGCACTCTACCTTGTTCTCCAGGTTTTCCTGGGTATCCCGGAGCTCCACTTGTTCCTTGGTCCCCACGTACTCCCTTTAGGCCTAAAATGATACTAACGTTAACTTTTTCCAACTATATCACTTATGATATAGCTAACGTCATCTTTACAAGCATGTCGCACTCCATCCTTTCCTTTAATCAAAATGTTTAAAGGTAAAATAATCTCAGTAAAGAAGTCTTCAAAAATCATTAGAAGCATTTAATTCAAATTAGTGGTAAAGCATTTTAAGATTTGGTAGGTAATGCCAACCTCTTTAACTAGAATTCGTCTTTCCCCATGACTTCTCATGGCTCTTCAAATCTCTCCTAAAACTGATATCTGCTTACATAATATACATATTTATATTTCTTCCTATTATGAATTTTAATTAGCAGTTAAACTATCTTCTTTTTCACATGCTCGAGATGTGATACTACCCACCTTACAAGTTTCAATACAGAGCATGACAATCTGCAGTCAGTCAAAGCTAGTCAAAACAAAAACCCATCCAATAATGAAAAATCAACCTTGACAGAGAACTTAAAAAAAAAAATTTCATTTCATGTTGGAACATACACTCAGAGAAGATTATAAAACTATAGAAAATAAGATTGGAAAAACATTAAAAGAACAAGTGTCATATATTTGCCATATTTCCATACAACAGATGTTTATATAGAATCTTACTAGAAGCCTAATGTGTTACAGGACAAGCATCCTATCCTATTTCAGATTACTTTTATATGTAAGTCAAAATAGCAATAATGCTAGTATTAACAATAGCTAATTACTAGATAATTGTATTGAGAATTTACTTTGCATCAAATACTAGTCCAAAGTCAGTATTTTTAAAAATCTGGCCCTTTTAAATTTAATATAGTTTTATTTTGTATTAATATCGTCTCATCTACTGGAACACATCTCATCAACTGGAATATTTTTTTACAAAGCTTTATAGTACAGCACCTTTCCTTCAAGAATGGTAAAGAGGATGTTTTTTTCATCATTTTTATCACAGAAAAAACAAAGTTATAAGAAAATTTTAAAATTTGTAGAGTCAAAATTAACGGTTTATTACCATGGAGATATCAACTTGCCAGTCATATTATGTATGATATGTCAGAGAAAAAGAAATCCTAGATCAGATTAAAAGTGATAAGAATAGACTCTCCCTAATTTGAAATACTTCAGAAATCCCATCATGAATTACTCAGTAGAATTTTCTGAGCAGCTAGGCCCCTATTACTACTTTACATAAAAGTAAAACTTAAAATTTCAACTGTAGCTCATCAGGAAAATATTTGGATGCAATTTGAGAAAACTCAGGAATGGAAAGGGCCAACCCTATTCATGGTCCTGCTCAATAATTAAACACCAAACTTCACTCATAGAATTATCTAGCTTCTCAAATTTATATAAGGAACTTATAATGAATTTATTCAATCAAGTAAAAGTTTCTAGAATGCAGTCACTCACTTCATTTTTTTTAACTTTCAGTCTTGACAAAAAGTACAAGCTAAATCTGGAAGTAAAAGGAAAGTGTAGTCGTCACTTTACAGGGACCAATTGAATGGATTTCTACTTTTGATCCTTCATCAAAGCATATTCTTAAGAACCGTATTGTATGATACTTCCCACTATTTTCTTCTACTTCCAGAAGTCTAGTTTCCAAAATGTATGAATTAGTGGGGAAGTTCATCACTCATCTTTTTTCACAGGGTTTTCTGCCAACATAATTCACCCACAAAAGTATTAACTATTTCCAAGAATGAAAATCGCATAGCTGACAAGTGTGCAGTAGTTCCTTCTTACCTTAGCGTCTTTTTTGAGTAATTATTTCACTGAATGTGCTAGCAGAAATGAGTTAGGCAGTTCCAGAACCATGTGGAGGGTGATCTATAGATGGCATTAGGTCTGTTGACATGTGACTCTGAGCTGGTATTCACTGAGGAATTTCTAAACGTCCCTGTGAATCTGTAACTTTGCTCAGTACCTTCAAGCTCTTACAGAACGATGGATTTTCATGAAGCACAAAACTTTTTATTGATAAATTTATAGAACTATAGAATTTCTGAGCTGGAAAATATCTATGAAAACACCATAACTACAAACCTTCTTCGATAGTAAGCAGGATATAAATAAACATTTAATCCATTCTCCTGTATTTCCAGGTAAGTCAAAATGATTAGTCCAAAGTTACTGCCTTAATAGCAACCTTAATACGTCTGCTTTAATTCCATTCTTTACCCACTTCGGTACTGTCTCTGATTTCAGAATGAACCAAAAGAAATGTCTAATTCTTCTCAGCAGACAGGCTACACACTTAAACTGAATATTCTAAATTATTCTATTATCTAATATGAAATTAATTTGCATCACAAGAAAAAAATGCAGGGTTTAGGAAAGGATCTTTCTCCAAAGGCTTTACTGTAAGATTTCCACTCACCAAGTCAGACAAGTGTTCAATGAAATGGAAATGCCATGTCAGAAACACTCGTGTGTGTGTGTGTGTGTGTGTGTGTGATGCTTCCTGATAAGAACAAAATTTTCCTATTGGTTCTTTATAACCATTTTCACATCAGATTAACTCGCAATCTGCTTTACCAAGCATTTAACAGTTTCACAGTTTGATCCACCCTCAAGAATCTAACATTTTCTTAGAAAATTAACCACATGGTAAATGATCCCTAGAGTTTTGAAATGAAATAAAATAAATGACCTACCCTTTTCTCCTTTGTGACCTTTTGGCCCCTGGGGTCCAGTGACTCCTGGTGGGCCTGGAATTCCAATATCACCAACCTCTCCTTTGAGACCTAGAAGTAGGATTTTAAAACCATCAAGACAGAATAATTCTTTTTAAAAGTTTGTTAGTTTATGGGGAGATGGAAAAAGTCATTGAAATCATTGAAACTAATAACTGTCAATGCTTTAATGATAGAATCTGGTGAGAATAAACTATTACCAAGGTGTAAGGGCAATATTTTTGTCTGATTTGCAATTTTGTACTACCTGAATAGATAAATTGAGCCCATTAGTACTTGTCACTGTATTCACGGCAGTGATCAAATGATGCAGGGAAGCAACACTATATCAAACAGCAAGAACAAAATGATTTCCTGACATTTAACCTCATGTGGACCACACTTCCAAACTGCAAGTAAACACATAACACTTAACACCTCTCCATTTCCTATTCACTCACTTAGTCTTTTCAATCAGGAACTATTCCTGAGGTCACGCATCAGGAACACAACCATCAGCTCACCAGCAGCCTCCACTCCTATAGGAGTGTGACTCAATGAAAGAGAAACACTAAACAAATACACAAGTACATAGAAACAATCACATTGCAGTTAATGCAGAAAGGAAGATGGAAAGGTCATATGGCAAGTTATGATAAAAAGAACTTAACTAATATTCACGAGCTCAGAGAGAACTACCTGACAGAGGCTGTAGTTTCCTAAGGAAAAAATTAGCAGGCAATTTTTTCAGGGAAAGCTAGGGTAAAAAAGGCCATGGTGTGTTTATGCAGCTGAAAAGTAAGCACTGTGGGTGGAGGTGGAGGTCAAGTATGAGAGGAGTCTGAGAGACAGGCAATGTGAAAGAAAAAGGCAGTGGACATTTTCCCTTGAATTGTGACCCTTACATTTCTCTGCGACCTGTAATTATGAAACTCATTAAATCTGTTTACTGTACAAAATCTTCCAGATCAAGGGCCATTCAGCCCCTTGAATGGAAACCTTGCACAAACATGAGATGGACCACTGATCACAGACTCAAAGATACAACCCCCAAATAGCAGACTCAATGTCTTCATTTCTTGGACCACCTTACTCTGAAAGACAGAGCCACTTTTGGCACTTCAGAGCCAAGGACCCCTCTCAGTCTTTATGGTAAATAAAGTCTGTCCTTGTTACAAGTTTTTCTTTCTCTCTCCCTTTATTTGTACACAAAAGTCACATTATGCGGGATTCAGACTTCAGCAAGTATCCTTGTTCCATCAGGCAGTCCAAGTCCCTCCACTTACCTAAGATAATTATTCTTCCAGCAGCCACAGTCCTGTTCAAGGCGTAAGAATTGCTTCCCAAGTGAAATAATTTAAGGTTAATTTCTTTGAAAGTTAACCATATAAATATGTGCAGTCAATGAAAGTATAATATTTTACCTTAATTATTGCAACGAAGACTAATGGAATGGAGAGAATTATACTCAGTGGAATTCCTCATTGAAGGAATATTTGTTTGGAAGGAAACTTTTAATACATTGCTTGCAGGTTCTAATAACTAAAGGTCATGGTTAAGGTAAAGGACAGCAGCGAGAAGAAGGAAGAACAAGCAGAAGCAAGTAAGACAGCCAATCCTGTTTCACTGAGTGATGTCTCCCCTCGCCATGTTCCCAGGGGCTGGATACGGTTCTTTCTGTATGTGTCCAGGTGGGCACAGGAACACTGTGAGCAGGGGCTGCCCACTCTGTCTCGGCCAGTGCACATTCAGGTGTCATTCACGTCAGTGGTGAAAAGTTGAGCTGAAGGGAAAGCTGTGGCTTTAAGGTGTACTCCTGGACTTTGACTCTGGGTTCTGCACTCTCAGTGTTGCATTTGGATTTACCAAACACTTCCTGGCCAGATCGTCAGATGACATGTAATAATATTTTTACAATTTTATAATGTCTTACCATTCTTAATATTTAGTACCCCTTATGACAACTTAACTAGAGAACCAGGAGATAAAATTTGGAACACAATTTTGTCTTGGCTGACTATTACATATATCTGCATACTTCAAGACGTTCATTCAGAAACTCATAAAGTTAATCTGCTGACTTTTAAAAGTAAGTAAGGCAAAATATGTTTGCAAGTTTTGTATTTTTTGTTCATTATGATTAAGGATGGAAAACAATGAAGAAAAATTAAAATAATGATTTAAATAGGTTTATTTTTCTCTCCCAAGTTTGCTTAAAGTTGCTCTTCTGTGAGATTTCCAATGGTGAGGAGGAGAGGGAGAGGGAAGGAGAAGAGAGGGAGTGAAGTAGAGGGCAGAGCAGAGGGAACGGGAGGGAAGGAGAGTAGTGCCTTTACAACACTGGGAAAGCTGGAATAAATACATCTTTCTGAATTTCAAAACAAGACCCTCAGTATTATGCTCAGAGTGTTCCACAAAACAGGACCATACTCCTACCACAGCTATCTAGAAAAATAAAAATAGTTTATTGAGCATTTATTCTACTCCAGACACCCGACAAAGTTCTCATATGCATTTTCCCATTCATGATTCCACAAAGGCAGTATCATTCTAATCTCATTTTATCATTTTGGAAACTAAGACTTAAAGAAATGAAGCTTTCCTACAGCAGTACAGTGATGTTCAACATTCTGAGCTCTTAAGAGCTAGGCTGTATGGCAGATCTGGTCAGACATAGGAGATCCCCAGACAGAACAGTAACTTGGCATACATTCAAAATATTGGCTGCATGGATTGAGAGGAAAAGCTAAACTCTGAGAACAGCACAGGCATATCCACCACTGAGTAAAACAAAAGTCCATGTGTTACAGATCTCATAGTCTTAGAGGGAGGTGTCGTGTCTACATGGCAGTGTTTCTGGAGTTTCCAGCCCCAAGCAGCTTGCCAGTCAAATAGGACACTAAAAGATGTTCTGGTATATATGACTTTTTTGGTTTCATCACATTTTCATCAATGTATAAACAATGACCCAGGCCCACTGCCCACTTTATTTACCCCTTAACCAGCCCTGCATAAGTACTGAGCACATTTCTCAAAATATCCTATAATGGTGTGAAGTGAATGAACAGCTTAGCAAAGACACAAAATTATGGATTTTATAACTTTAAAGGCTTCAAGCAAGAAGCAACAAACATTTACATGTATATTTTCAGGGACTAGTGAATTTGAAATAGACATTCTCATCTTAATTTTAATTCAATTCTTTCTGCTGCTGTCTGACACGTGAAAGTCAAAGTGTCTTGCAATAAAATTGAGAGTATATTCATTAGATACATATTAAAGACATTTGAAATTTTGAAATACATAACCACGGCATTCAATGGAGAAATTGCCGAGCAAGAGTACAGAGTTGCTTCTGAATGTCAATGAGTAGCAAACTGACTTGCACTTCACTCTCCTCCACCTTATAGGAGTTCCATTTCTAATCTTGACTACAAATAGCACTTAGAAAAATCTATCAGTCACACACAATCTTACCAGGCAATAGAACTTTCATTTGCTTCTCTTAAATCAGCCATTAATGAAAAGATTGTGCTGGTACTAAACCTGTGTGGCTTGCAGAGCTACAGCCCATGCTAGGATCAGGAGTCCCTGCATGGCTACAGCCAGCACCAGCCAGCAGAACTTTCTGCAGTGGTGGTGATGCTCTGTCATATCTGCACTGGCCAACAGAGTAGCTCCTGGTTACTCATGGCTATTGGAGCAGTTGAAATGTGGCTGGGACTGTTGAACTGAATTTTTTACCTTATTGAATTTTAATTTTAATATCTATTAATAAGCACACATGTGGCTACCACACTGGGAAGCACAGCATCCATTTGCATTTGTCACAAAGTCATACAAAAACCTGTCACCATTAGAATGACAGTATAAAACCCCCTGGAGCAATGCATGCCCCCGTCCGCCTCTCTAAGAATGTACAGATGAGAAACTAGGCTTCATATATTTTCAAATACCTGGTTTTCCAGTCTTCCCTGGTTCTCCTTTCTGCCCAGTGACAGATGAACAGCAATGACAACAATTCAAAAAGAAATCAACTTTGTCAAGAGTGAGGTTTTCAGAGGGAAAGAGAGTGGCTGTGGGAGAGGCAGGGTCCAAGGCCTCCGGGTCTGGGGTGGCTGCTACCATCGCTGCCGCCTCTGTATGTGGAGCTCCCTGTTCTTCCCGAGGTGAGCCGCTGGGCAGCTTTACACCCTCCAGCATCTCCTTCCCGTCAGATTTCTTTGTAAATTTGGTATATGGTGTGGTCTTTGCTGCTGCTTCCATATCAGCAATAGCAAAAATAATCAAAATGGCACAAAGCCAAGAAAACATCCACATATTTGAGGCTGGAAGATATAATATGAAAATACACACAGATTATATGAGGCCCAAATTTTTAAAATTCAGTGACATAGATACATAATTAGACAAAAAAAAAGTACATGTACTATAAGAATGAACAATATGCATGAAATACAATGAGATTTTGTGGATACTTGCATGTACAGGTATAAAATGAAATCATAGCAGAATGTTTTATTTGCTGTAAGTATTTACCATAAGGAATACTTTGCTTCAGTTCTCTTTTCTGGTTGTTTTCTCAGTGTAACATGTTTGAAAATAGTGTTTTCAATCATTCAGATTATCTTGCCAAATAGCAAACATGTTCTATAATAAATGCAACATGACTTAATAGCTCATATACCCTGTAGAAAAAAAATATGTATAATTTCCTAACTGACCTCACCTAAATTTATAGGAATCGAATACATTTGTATTAGAAAGAGATGAAAGATATTGAGCTGAACAGTTTATACCAGCAAACTCAATTATTCAAAAAAAAAATACCAGTAAAGTAGTCTTTAAATCTACCATAGATAATGATCCAGTTGTGATAGCACCTTGGAATTATAATAAATGGAGGAGACAATAAAAAAAAACTCTAAACTTAAATATATGCTATGTCCTTAGATTTTGCACATGTCATTTAACTCTCCAACTTTTTGCTTTGTAATTTGGGAATTTACTGTGAAAATTTATATTTATATCTGTATTATTTTAATTAGGCATTGTGGTTACTCTTATTAAGGTTTTGGATCAACGCCCAAAATAATACAAGCCTCCCAATGAAGTGAAATTGTGAAAGTTCATAGTATTCTGTTCCCCACCAGTTTCTGCAGTATGAGAGCTGCTAAGAGACAGTGTAGGCTATAAATCCATGTTTTATGATACAAAAGTGAACTAGTAATTGGGATATTCAGAGAGTTATAATAAGGATATGAACAATGCCAGCCATGTATACAACCCTTTTGAAGAGTAGAACCTTTATTCATATCATCAGTTTTAAAACAGCTACACCAAGTAGGTGAAATGCTATTATTCATCTGCATAGATGACTCAGCAGGCATCAAGGGGTTACATACTTTACCCATATTCATACAACCAGCAATTGATGGGGTTAGGACTTAAATCCTAGTTTGTTTGATTTTAATTCCTAAATCCTTTTCTATAAATCATGTGGCATTTTAAAAGATGGGATTAAAGAAAAATAAATCCAGGGCAGCTCAACGGAACAGAGCTGTGGAAGAGACAGATATAAATCAGAGCAGATGGGAAGAGATAAGGATAAGGTGCTTCCTTTCCAAAATCATATAAAATCCCAAAATAAAAACTTCCTTCATGTTTCCTTTACCACCACATTCATCCATGCAATCGATGTTTACTACATATCAAGCACCACAACAGTAAGAAATTATATGTGATGACACCAAAGATGAGCCATGGGTCCTGTCCTCAAGCAGGTTACAGTCTTGTAGGAAGATATGAGAGACAACAAGCTCAAGAAGAAAGTGTGAGGGATGAAGTCAGTGGCACTATCTCCCACACATAAGCACCTTCTCATGCCAAAATGAACAGCCAACACCTGGTTACCATGCAAAAGACAGTGAAACACAGCTCCAGCACAAGCTAGACAATAGAATATTATTTGAACATAAAATAATTGAACTTTAATTAGTTGATAAAATTACATTCAATAATGATGTGTTCGATAAATATTTATTTGAGCATCATAAATGTCTTGTGCTGAGTCCTAAAAGAAAAAGACAAGTAATACTCAATCCCATTCCTGAAGATCATTTTTGCAATAATCATTCAAATGTAACCACAGTGGCACCTTTAGGCTATAAAGAAATCAGAGATCAAGCAAAAAATCAAAGTGTAATATCAGTAGGAGTTAATTCTCTCCTTAATTTACAATAAGAAACATTAGGATTTGCAGGATGCTGGTTGTTAGTGTTCTACGATATTAGCTATGTCATTTTTAAAAGGTGAACTCATAGGGAAGTATTTTTTCTTTCTGCGAATATGTAGTGTTATTCTTCCCTATGTACAGTACAAAATATTTTACCTTGCAAGCATGCTGTGATAGGATCATGGTAAGCTAGTCCAGAGGAGGCAAGCAAGTCAGATCTGGAGGGAAGGGCGTGCCATGGTTTGGGCTTAAAATGCACACCATAATGTCACATGTTTAGAGGTAGGGCTTTTAGAAGGTGACTAGATCATATGTATTCCATACTCACCAGTGGTTTAGTCATGGTGGAAAGTGGTGCAGGCTTTGGGTGCATAGTCTGGAAAGATAAAGTATTATTGTCCTAGGACCCTCCTTTCTCTGCTTCCTGACTGTCATGCAGTGAGCAGATTTCCTCTACTCTGCCTTCTCACTGTGATATTTCTGCTTTGAAACCAGCCATCTATGGACTGAGACTTCTAAAACCATCAGCCAAAATAAACCATCTCTCTTGCAGCTTTAGATTGAGTCATGTTTTCCCAGTGATAGAAAAGTGACTGATATAGGATCCAACATTAAGAAACTAGTAAGTGTTGCCTTCAGCCCTTTGTAATTATTATATCCATTATGCCAGACAAGACTCATGCAAAATAACAAATTACTATGCTTGCATAACAAGTTATGGAGTGGAGGAACAGACAGGTCAAGTAACCTACGCGAGATGACAGTGTCTGTAAGGAGTGGAGCTGGGTTGAAATGCAGGTCCATTTTATCTGAATACAGCCAAGCACTTCCTAATGCGTCATGCTACCTGGAGATTAATGAAGACCCAAAGAAACTACCAGGGTAAACTACAGTGGGATCCTTCCAAGAGTTCAAATCAGACATCCTGTAAAAGACGGGGGCCTCTTACAGATAATAACTGGGAAATTAATGAGAAAGATGAGGAAAGCTGGGTCTGACAATGATACACATTGGCGGCATACAAAGCTATAGAAGAAACATAGCACACCCAACAAGAGGGCAGAGGTGGATGAAAAATAAAGAACAGAGCCAACCAGTCCAAGAAAGATGTTCAGTGTGCCTGAGGTTTGAATTGTTCTCATATGTGTTTTTCTTGCACTGCGGATTCTTGCTTCTCAGTTTCAATATGGATGTTAAAAGACAATATTGTCAACACTTTAAAATTATGGTAAGGCTGCCCAAGAATTTGGAATTGAGGAAAACACAATGCCCTTTTTCAAAGGCATTGGAGCAAGTATGGGTAGGAACCTGGTTAATGATACAAGAATATTGTTTCTTTTTATGATAACAATAATACCAGAGATGAGGCCTCATTATGTTTCCCAGACTGTCCTAGAACTCGCAGCCTTCCTGGTTTGGGTCCCCAAAGAGGTAGGATTACAGGTTGCATCACAGCGCCAGCCTGCATTTCTTGTTTATTGGAATTTTGTTCACATTCATGAAAGCACATAAGAAGCTAACCTAATAAGACTTCCACAATGACTCAAGAAAGTAAGGGCTTCTTGACAATCTAGATGTATAAATGCTTGCATAGAAATGTTGCTAGTTAAACTACCCCCTCCAAGACCAAAGTAGTGAATATTTAGCTTCTCTGCATGCATGTTAAGAATGTAGTGAGATCTCAGCCCCAACTTCTGATCAAACAACTTGAGCGCAGTGAAGCTGGTTGTCCTGTAATGCTTTATCTGCACTGAGACATGGAAGGAAAAGGGAACTAAAATAAGAGGCCTGAACTATAGTCAAGAAGTGAGAGCATTTCAGGCTCATATTAGGAGGCTGGCAGCTCCCTGTGCATTTTCCATTTAAATAAGTAATCAAGAGTAATATTGAGAGCTGCGAGCAGCAGCCAAGAGGGACCATTAACATCATTAACATCACATCCATTTCAGGCCTATTCATCCTAGAGGGTGAACACAAGAGAGTGTTGTACAAGGGTGTCAAGAGAAGGACACCAGAGAGGGAGATTCCTGCCACCACTTCTGTCTCTTTCCTTGTAAGAGTTAAATCCATCAAATGATTCTCTTCTGTTTAAGGTCCTTGTTGTTGTCCTCTCAGTGCTTCACAGCTACAAGAGAAGACAATTTCCAAGAAACTGACTCCTCCACCTTAGAAGTCAGGCCTTCCAGAGCCCAGGCTTTTGGTTCATTCACCAATATGTGCTGCCTTAAAAGGAAGGAGGAGGAACACTGTAACTACCAATTCTTAGTTCCCATTTTATTTTTAAAAGCAATTCCAGAGTGACTGTAATCAGCTCTGACCGGCCTCTCACATCCCTTTGTGTTGATAGATGCAGCAAAAGCACCATAATTTCTATTGTCCAATGGGAGGTTATATCTTTTAATGTCAAAATAAGTGAATCTATTACAATATTATTGAAGATAACATTACATGCTAGCAACTTAAATGGTTTTTGTATTTGACAAGTATGCAGTAAAATAAAAACATAATCTCAGCATTTCTTTTGTCAGATGGAAAAGGATTGGCTTTGATTCAGAGTATAGCGTCCTAAAGAGCCCAGCTGCATTAATGGGTACTCTTTCCTCCTTTGGTGCATGCCACCCCTCTGTAGCTCCTCCTCTTGTCTTCCTACACTGCGTTGCATTGCAGCAGTAAGTCAAGATGCAGAACATCACAAATGGCACTGAAGGCCCATGGTACAGCATTGGGGATAAAGAGGAACTGCGCTTAGGGGAGCAATCAAGCTAGGGGAGGACAAAGTAATAATTCAGGTGACTGGCTGAGGAGAAGATGAAGTCATCCGCATGGATGAGTAGTCAGGTAAAAATGCAGACTAGCTTTAAGCACAGAAATAAACCCTGGCTCCACATCTCGAGAGCCTAAAATTAAAACCGATAAGAATGGAATTTGTCAAAGGCAACAACGAAATTATTGCCTGGTTTTGTCTTTTTTATTTCCCTCACAGTGATTCTGAGTGTGTCTACTGTACTGCTTTTCTTTTTTTAAAGATTAAGAGAACGAAAGGAGGTGGGGGAAGGAGACAGTGTGAATCTGGGGGTGTGTAGCTG